TTTTTCTGTACAGCGTGTGCAAATTATTTCACAATGGGTTGAATTTTTCATAACAATAAAGAAACTCGAATCTTTTAGCTCCTTTCTCCCCCGTATAAATCATATTAAGCTCTGATATGTCAGCGAAATATAGCTTCGAGTTTTCTCCGATCTCATAAGTGATGCCGTCGCTTTAAGTTCTCGCGGCCGTGACGTGTATAGAATGTGACTATGTAGTGGTTGGCTTGATTCCCGCGCGGTAGGTAAGGGAACTTTCCTCATTACAAGAATACTTCTAAAACGGTTCGGCCCTGATAAACGAATGAACTTTCGGTCTTCCTTATCGTAGATCCCGATGCTATATCGGCCAGAGAGTTGAGAGCGATCGCAGGATTGCAGTGGGGCGGCAGTCTTTAATTTCCTTCCTGCCGCGGCTGACGTGACGTCTCACCGCAGGTGGGAACACATTTTTATCCGCATCACCGAACTTCGCACATCGATCGACTATTTTCGTCCGCGGCTGAAATTCGCGCCCCGGTTGTCAATTCTTTCGATTCTCCGTCGTATTCTTTTCTCTCGAACAACGCACCTCCCTTCTATTGTTCGCTCACGTCGTTCATTTCCGCGGATGTCCGCAGCTCAACGATATAAGTTACCGATTACGCTCGGCAATTTCTGGTCGGCGGATAAAGAATGTGCGGCACGGCTCGCCACGCCGTAATCGGGGCGTTTCCCAATTAAGTTCCCACGCGCGGTGCCTGCCACCTCAGTTCGCGAAACCCCGTGTGCGACCTTTCCTCGTGTGCACACGTATAACCATTGCTCGCCTCTGTACAGTCTTTCTTGCTTAGGCGAGCAGCCCCCGCGAGGCTTGCTTTAATAGTACCCCGCGGGAATTCCGGGACTATCGGTTACCTAACCCGCGTCTAATAAGACTGATGACGATGATCGAGCTGGGCGAAACAACGTAAGAGGAAATTAAGCGCGTAGGCCAGGAATCGGACATGCTACTCCAATTTTCGTATTTCGTTCCAAGTTTTAATTAGCTCTTAATCCTTTGCGGCCTACACGCCTCGCTCCGTACGAACTTTTAACCTTTTCCACCGGCAAGGCATAGACCGTGCACGGACTTCCAATTGTTTCCCTCATAAGGTACATATCCCTCACTTTTTTGCGTGCTTAAACTAAAAATAATTCAAAACCGGTAAGTTGGGAGCATTGAGTGCTGCAAATGAGATGTTGAGGAATTAACTTCTTTCTCCGTTTCATTAGCGTTCTGTCTAGGGATCGGGTTGCCTTTAAATAGTTCTTTCTAGTTACAAGCTGTACGGGAACTGTCGAACAAGCGGGACGTTGACATTATATCGGAAATTACATGCTTGATTTGCTGGAGAAATTTCATATCTTGTAAATCTTCCAACGATAATATTTATCGTCGCAACTTTCCACAACGCTTGCATATAGCTCTAAAATGTTGATCCTAGAAAACGAAAATGATGCAGATAAACAAATAAAGTGAATTGATACTTTCATATCTGAATTTTTTGTATTTTTTTGTACAAATAAAAAAGATCAAATATTTGAAAATATCCTATATGCGCAATTTTCCGATGTTCAGAGTTTACACGAAATATGAAGTTTGTGATTCAGGGTAAACCAATATCTATCAAATAAGTTACGAGCAAATATCTCGGTTAAATTAAATAATTTGTTTGCTGAAAAAATACGAAAACAAGTTCTTAGACCTCAAACAAACATTATAATTAAGTGCTCTTCTTGATGAAATTCGCGGATTTCCATCAAGAAAATCTCACGCGTAGAATAACGGAGTTCCACGTGGAAATAAAAAAAAAAAAGATTTCACTCGGCCTTTCGCGCGTATATGAAAAAATATATGCTTTCGTCTTCGTTGTAATGAGTTTGCAGAATGCGTCTCGCCTCTATCCTGCGGTCTAAATAACGCAAAGCTTCGCAGTTGGTCACGAAACGTCAGTCTTTTCAGCGAGCTTGTAATAAAGACCTATAATGAAAAAAACCGTAGAACCGTTATGAAAGGCGTAAAGAGCATTTACCTCGAAGCTAAAAAGTTAGCGAAGATTATTATGCCGTGAAGCCCCTGAGAAAAAACGTCGCTAAGGAAAACGTTCTTCGAGCATAATCAATACACACGAAAAAATGGAGAAGGAAAAATAGCGCCTATGATATCTATAATGTAATTTTATTCCCTACGAAAAAAGAAAAGTACAGTTTTGCGTGAACGCACTTCCGGGGGCGATTGTGACCGTGTAAGTCGGGAAATGGGAGGGAAATAGATTAAGTCATCCTTCACGTGTAATCTTTGTTGTAACATACATTAGTTACTCCTTGAAAGCTTTACCGTGACTCCCTTCGGCCTCGTAATGGACGTGGGAGCTTCCTTAATTGGCTACGCAAGTATCTCGTGCAGTAGATGGAGTCCGCGTACTCAGCGGCGCGGCTAGGCGAAGACGTTGCTCGTCCTAACAATTCGTATGTGTGCGTATCCGTGTTCGGAATTAGTTGAAACCGAACGGCAGACGCCGAAGGAATTCGCGCCGTCTTTGTCCTCCCGGTTGCTCGGGAAGACACCGGGGAAGTTCTCGTAACTCCATACCGATTGAGGCAAACTCTACTACCCGATAACTTCCACCAGTCAAAGACTGGCGACGTAGCAAGTACACACACGCCTTTACCATATTGGATTCGCCGTTATATGTCGGTGCGCCGTAGATAGGTCCTTTTCAGGCTGGATTCCAGGATTACAGCAAGCACTCCGGATTACCGGGTTTGGCGGTACCAGAAATGTCATCTTTGGGAATTGGTTTCCCCAGGATGTATTACGTGAAATCGGTCTAATTATGTTCCGACTGGGGGCACTAAGACGGTTATGATGAGGTTCGCCCCTCCCCTCCCTTTCGTCCGTATCCGGATATAAAAAATGATTGGATTGGCGGTGTGACGTCTCCCGATTCGTCGGATCGAAATTTCATTTTGGAAAAATGGATCTGCGACATCTCGTAACAAGTACATATATATGTATATATGTATATATATCACACGAGTTTTCACGTTCCAAAATCGCTTTTGCAACAATACTAGTTACATAATACTGAACGTCCGTATTTTTTTATTTAATAGTGTCACGAAAAGTTTCCAGCCTTTCTCCCGGAGAGTCTAATATTTTCGTATATTTCTAATTTTTATTATCGCGAAGAAAGCTCACGTTCAGTTAGTGGGAAAAACTTCGTATTCGACAATGTCAATGGGAATAATTGTGAGATTGAAAGCCAGCGCCGTTAGATACATGTATTGGTTTCGTTGTATCATGCACATTTTCCGCAGAATTCTTACGACAATTAGCTCCTTGCGTTACGACGCTCCGGCAACTTACGTGTGACCTATTGCATTTTAACGAGACACATTCGGTTAAGAGTACGTGCAGCGGATCATTATGCAGCTCGTTAGATAGTTCGAGGAGGTAGCGGTATCTCTGTGTGTCCTGATTTTAGAGCTACACCACGTAAAATGTATTCGACTGCTTTAAATGAAAGCGACGACAATAGTAACTTTCTAATTGTAAATAATTAAATTGCACTAAAAGTGCATATGTGTTAGGCAAAACAAACGACACTATTCTCTTCCTTATTCTTGCGTTTAGAAAATATAATTACTTGCGTCATTATGCAATGAAGTTCTCAATATTAATGTTAATAATAATAATAACTAACTGTGGGAAATATTTGACATTTATGTATCTTGCAAAAACACGTATTCTTTGATAGTATGCGGAAACATACGGAAAGAAATAACCTAAATGAATCGATGTAACCAATAAATGTCGCTCATATATTGTGCGGTGCGGCGAATGTGGCATAAAGCCAATGTATATGGCCCATTCGTTATGAGATCCCTTAATGTAATACGTTGTGCTTGAGATAGGAGATAAAACGCACACGTAAAGGATAATAGCGGATTTTTATATATACTTTTACTCGTGATGATCTACATGTACAAGCATGCATCGGACAAGATTATACTTATTTTCACGAGAGTTATTAAAAAAAGTTTCTAAAACATTACTTATAAAAAGGAGGTTCAAATTAAACGGAATAACATTTTTGAATATATCACGTTAATGCAAAATATTAGTAAAACCTTAATTGATGTATTTACAAATAAATTGCTTCTTTTTTATATTTAAATAATTCAAATAATTAAAATTTACATAAATGAATAAATAAAATGGAAGGAGGATAGCTAGAAAATGTAAGTATGTATGTGTGTATGTTTACCTAACGTTTCTGCATAAAAAAATGAAGGAAATTAGTACCGTTATTAATATCGTTACGTGATGAAAAACATCGTGTGACGTAACCGCTATCCGATATATTGAGCATAGCATAGCTTCGTGGTCAGTACGCTAGGGAATGAAAATTAGCTCGAAATTAGGGTGCTCTAATGGGCGTGATAATTGATATTCGATGCGCGTCGAGGCTCCTCTCTCACATTGCCTCGCATGACACATGTTGTTTCCTATATATTGTTACCCTAAATTGCCTAACTGCCATCGGCTCCTGTGCCATGTAAATAGCTTTCATTATCGAACAATTGTCTTTGCATTCCGCAGAGAGGTAGGTAACCATGATATAACCATGATTAACCGTTTGAAAATTATAGAACTGACAGAGTTCCGTAAGACTTATCAAGTTACTTATAAATTTTGTACAAATTTGTACAAACAAAATGATTTTTTTTCCCCTTTATATCTGAAGACCATTTTGTACTTCAATTGTCTAGACCAACAATTTCACTTTATGTTATTTAATCGAGCAATCTTCGTTTCCTCGCGATGTTTTCGAAGTAATAACATAAATATATCTTCATAAGTTAAAAAAATTCAACAATGATGCTTTTCGGAAATTACTTCTCACTCTAAAATATTTTGCTGATATGTATAGATAATGTATTAATATTTGTACTTTCTTGTTTCTCTTCTGTTACAGGTTACATGGGTAAGGCGGAGAGACAGACAACTGTTAACAGTCGGCACCAGTACGCACTCAATCGACAAGAGATTTGTCGTTAGACACGGGAACTCCGATTGGGCACTTATGATACGCACCGTAACGGTCGATGATGCCGGCATATACGAATGTCAGGTATTTTGATCAACTTTTCGTTCTTCTACTAACACCGTGTGTATTTGCGATTATGTACATAATTCACATGGTTTGCCAACTGTCGATTTCGGTTCTGGTTCTTACTTTAGAACGGAGGGAATTATATTGAGAATGAGAGTAAATTTATAATGACTGTTTAAAATAGTGTTTAGTGTTTCCATTTGTACCTGGTAGTTTAAGTTAAGTTATTTCCAATGCACGGTTCTGTGAATTTTCCTCAAAGGTTGCACACCTCGAAAATGTCAACTAAAATGTCAATACGGCCAACCATACATTTTACAAGCGAGTATTTAAGGTCACAGAGATGCGCGCCGCGTCTTTAACCCAAAACAGGATTTCTAAGGAATAATCAACATATTTCCTTCGACGATGAACACGATTTATACCGACGATACATTGTATGATTGATCAACTCTGCACAGGATGGAACATTTTTAAATCTTTCGAGTCAATAAAATAATACAATGATTATTTATAATTTTCTGTCTAATTTTCTTGGAGAATTATTTTCATTAAGAATGTATTTATATCCCAAGAATGATTGATTCAAGTTGTGTACCGATGAATACGAAGATTATATAAACGTATTATTTTTCTCAACTCACGCCGCTCGCTTATCGCGCTATGGACGGTTAAAGGTACCTTTATATTGCAATTGCAGGTGACGTCGCATCCGGTGCAGCGAAACTTTGCCCGTTTGAAAATCACAGAGGCGTACTCGATAATATCAGGTGCGCCTGATCTACATGTGAAGCAAGGCTCGAGCCTCCGTTTGGAATGCCAACTGATGGCTGCTACGGAAAAGCCTCTTTACGTCTTCTGGTATCGTCAGGGCCGCATGATAAATTACGACGAGGAGCCTGGCGTCGACATTAGGATGTCGCCGAGCGGCTCCATTTTGACGGTGAACAAAACGAAGCTTTCGCACGACGGTAACTACACGTGCGCGCCTAGCAACGCCAGGGCGGCTTCTGTCATGGTCCACGTAATTGAAGGTGAGGAGCACAAGGCCGTTCTCTCACCAGCTTCCGGTTCAATTTAGCTCGATGTAACTCGGAGAAATTTCCAAGCGTGAAAATAATCGAACGAAGTATCACTTCGCGTCAATTTGCATCGATGAGAGAACATGAAATATATTCGACGTAATCTCAAATTTTGTAGTTTGCAATAAGAGAAGAATAAGTATGTTCCCATTAATATTGAGGCCTTTTTTTTACGAAATTCACGTATACAGATACGGATTAGAAGCTAGGGAACTGACAGGCTGATTGAAATTGTGTTTCTAAACACGCACGAATGTGTTGTATTCTGCTCCGCGTGCCCTCGATGGAAAGCGAAATGTAGTGACTATTTGCACAGGGACTATGGACAAATAGTCAACGAACAGTTGGTGCATCGAGAAAATCTCGTGAAAACGCGTTGGTGGACGGTCGTACGCCGTACGGCGTTTGCGGACGTGCATGTAAACGCTAAAATATTTAAAAATCACTCTGACCGTGAGCGAATATTAAAGGACGTGTTAAATCGTCTAATCATAGCGACGTATTCGGCACGACGATTGCCGAAGGATCCGACGTAAGCAAGACTCCGTGTTACAGCCTGCTCGTAAACGTGCCGGTAGACGATATATCCGCGACGCTCCGGCATATAACGCGGTAGTAATTGACTCGCTCCAGTTACGCCGACGAAGATCGGCGCCGATCGGCCTGCGGAGAAGTTCCGCGGAACTTGAATATTCATTAGAGTAAGAGCCGAACAATTAAACGGTTGTAGGGAGCTCATTACGATCGGATTTAGCGGCTCTCGTGGACGCATTCATCCCCGTTGTAGCTCGTCCGCGATAACAGAAGGGCGGCTCAAAATTGTACGACTACCTCTCTAACGACGAAACTTTTACCCCTGAGTTCGCCGCGAGGACCAAGTTCGACGCGATTTTTCGAAAGTACAGCGTAACTTCGGGCCGGCTTTACTTACACTTTAACGCGCTTAGTAACTACGTAATAACGCGATAGTCCGCGGGGCATTATCAAACTCATCTATTATTTTCCTCTTTTCGAGACGCGATACCCCCTCCCTCTATTTTAATTTTTTGATACACTTTTGATATTCGTGGTACGACGTCTACGCGCAAACTTTCCCGGAATATTGGTCTATACCGGTTAGTCCGTTTACGGAACCTCATATTACTCTTTTTATTCAAGTGAGCTTCTTCTCCTAAAGAAAATACGAAAGAAATTAATATATTAAACCCTAACGCAGCCCTCAAACCTGAAAATTTCTCTTCGCCTTTCATTGAAAACATTTGAAAAAGTCAGTATTACGCATCAAACTTTATAATTTAACTTAGATTCAAGATATTTAGAAAAGAGAGCGTACGTCTCTTGACGAGAACTCACAAAGTTATCCTTGTTTGTTGAGTCTCCGTTGATGTCGGTGCGCGTGACAACTGGGGAACGTTATGCACGTGACCGGACTGTCAAAAGGTATTTTCTACGACAGGTAGAGTGAAACGATCTGCGTTTCACCCCTTAGACCTCAACTGAGAACGTCGGGCAGTCTGGGACCGTTTAAAACGTCGTCTCTGTTCTCGCGGGACGGTTTCGTCACTCTATTCGAGAAAAACATTTTCTGCACGTGACCGCTTTCCACGGTCTAACTATATGTTTTTAGTGCGTCGTCTCACGAGCTCTTCGCCGCTACAAAAAGATCAATTTAAAACGAAGCGGTTCGTACATTTGCCCGCGTGTCTCCTACGCACGTCGTATGTAGCGCAGCTTTCTAATCTTGTTGCAGAGGAAGAGAAGCCGGCGGCGATGCACGGGGGCGACAGAAGGAACCTCAGCCCGGCAATTTTGGCGAGCAACTTTCTGGTATCCCTCCTAGCGGCCGTCAGCTGGAGGATACCGAGTTTCACGAGCCTTTACCCGACGTGAATTACCGCCGCGCCGGCGGCATCCTTCGGTCCCTCCGCGTCACGACGGAGCCCGCTTCGAGGATACGAGAGTTCCCAGGCATGGTCCTCCTCCTGCTGCTTGGCGCGGCACGATCCCGCCGTTCGTTCCGCACCGAGAAGAAACTCCAGTGTCGGGGACTCCGGTGCGCGTGATATCGCGAATACCGGCTTGCGAGCCCGGTTTTACCTTACGTGTGTTTCTCTTGCGTCATACTAAATAAACGCCGGTTCAGGTGGCTCGGTGCGTGTCCGGCGCGTCCGTCTGACAGTGTCCTGTGGCTCAAGGGTAAAGGGGCAACCCCCGCCTCGGTGCACACGTGTGAAGCATCCACTCCGATCCCTCGCTCCTCTCACCTTACTATCTCGGCTCGTGCTCGCATGAATGCCGCGTAAATGCCCTCGGCCGGACTGTGCTCCGCTTTGGAGTCGAGCCAGCGGTTTACGCAGCGTGTGTTTCACTCTTAAAAACTTCCGCGTAATCTTCGCGTTTGGTCACGTGTCTACGGTTACTGTCAGAGCTACAGGCAGAGCTGTTGGCGCGACGGTTCTGCAAAATGGGAACGAGACGAAAGATTTCAATGCACGTCCAGATACACGGATGATATCTCTTTTGTCGCACCTGTGCACCTTCCTGTAAGTCGAACGACGATACTACTCGGAAGGAATCACAGCTTCGATCAATGAATAATTTCGGTCAGCCGCTCAAGATACATATCGGATGAAAAGACAAAATTAAATCCTACAATGTGTGGGAACAATATTGCACTGCCATAAATTTGCCGCGTAGATTCGCGTTTTTATTTATTAAACACTACGCGGTGACGATATATTTGTTTTAGTAATATCCGTTCTCCGTCGTTCTTTCCCATTATCTTTTGCGCTCGGGTGTAACCGTCGTGACAGAATCACTAGTTGCTTCAGACGCAGCCACGCGAATGACGCAACAAAACGAGAAGATTATGGAACTATGGTACTAAGATACGTTTTAAGATACGCGTCGGCGGAGAATTCGCGTAAGCGGAAGGGAATTCCGGATTTGTTTGCACAGGAAATTCAGCTTCCCGCGGAAAAGCCGTTTTCCCGATGGAAGCTTCCCCGCTCGGCTATGCGGCTTGTCGATATCCTTCAGTGTGTGTGATCGACGAGTCGGTTTCTTCGTACGTGCATTCTATATATACATATTATATATATACGTATATATTCGTTATGTACACACAAAAATACAATATGTATATATGATGAGAGCTCGATTCATTGTTCTTTCAATGAATGCTTGTATTGTCGATATTTTGAAATTCCAAAGTGATTCGTGTCGCTTATCGTCTGCTGCACTCATTAATGGAACGTGTTTTTTGTTCGGTTTAAATGCTCCCTTTGAAAGCGTTCGATCGAGCTTTCATCGTATAGGCTATGTAACGATACGTTATTATATAACGTAGTAGTTGTCCCGAAAATTCTGTTTGTCGTGTATCGAGTATCGCGATAAAATTATAATAATAACGGAGACCTCAGCTTTGCACACAATTAGGACAGACTTTTGTGCACTACAGTACAATGACAAAAAGATCCGTTTGGAACGTATTTTAATGGAAAAAATAAACGGAAGTTAGGAGAAAAATCTCCTTTCAACTCCGGTTTGATGGAACAACAAAAAAAAATATATATATATATATTTCGTATAAAACTTGTTAATTCTGCACCTTCCTCGGTAGCGAAAAGTTTGAATGAAATTTCTTTTTTTCAAGCTGGTTATTTCGAGATCGCGCTCAAGTAAGGCAAGCGGAATTTTTGCGACAACTTGATTACGCGAGCCCGAGGTGGATGAGCGACGTTCTTTCCGCGCTGTAGAAGCCTTACCTCAATCCCCGTCGACTTTCACAGTGCCATTGTCATGGCGCGGAAGTTTCCCCTCCGCGCCTTGAAATTCTCCGGGTGGGTATATACCGAGGCATTCGCTGTTTACTCGCGCTCAGTGTACACCTTCAAATAAAGGTCTTTAAATAAATAATAAATACAAACATTTACACACGTACACAGCTGAATAAGTGTCCGATGTGAACACGCAAGGTAGAACCGAGGATACAGCGAACATCAATACAAACGTTTGCCGTTTGTTCTTTGTTTCTTCCGCTCAGTGTATACCCACCTCTTTGTGCGTCCTCAAGATTGACGAGTAAATTCAGCCTCGGATGGCATGTCACGAGTGATGTGAGTGATGATATCTTTCGAAAGGAAATACACTCCTTCTCTAATCATTTAACGCGAAATCGAGACTTATTTGATGTTTTAACAACGACAGAGATTCTTCTTTCTATACAATCGCGTGGAGTCGTATAAACGACCTTGCTGATTGATGATAAGTATGGTTAACAGCCATCGCTCCTCGTTTCATTAGAATAAGGAGGGTGAGGTAAGAAAGGCTAAAAATTATACGAAAGGTGTGTTAAAGACGCTTAAAAATTCAGGTTGCCTCTCAGAGTCACTGTTTCACGGCGATCCTTAAAGCACTCGTTTGGATTCTCAGCGTCGGTCTCTTGAGCATGAAATTTCAGTGTAAAATAGCGAAAGGGGAGAGAAGCGGTAGTGACGAAGGAGTGTAATTCGAAAGAACTCTCGCGTTTCCGCGACGGCTACCGATGTTTTGTGAATGGCGAAAGCTCGGTGCGCTGGTCTCGTGGTTTTTTCGGCGGCGGAAAACGCGTTGGTTTCACGGTCTCGACCGTATATCCCGAGTTTTATGCACGGCACGCACGACACGTGGCGATGCGGCCGCGGACACGCGCTCATCAACGTTATTTATCTGGATACGTGGAATCAATGTAAATACTAAACATTCTAACTACGCATTCAATAAAACATTAATCGTCACTATATAAGTATGATGATTCACTTTCTATCTCTTGAAAAAACATCCCTGTTGATTACTTTGAGTAACCAAAAACCCTTTCTTTAATATATTAGGTTGGGGAAAAAGAGGATTTGTGCAAATGGTTTAAAACTGTTTTATGGTCGATCTTTAGCACCTGGGCGATGCTACGACTGCTAACATGCCGGTAAACTTCGATTATTTCTGTGATTTTATCGACATTTTCGACGACGGGCCTACCTGTGCGAGGTGCATCTTTAACATCAAAAATACCTGAACGGAATCGACGAAATCAAAATTGCACGTAATTGGCTGTTACAGTATCGGCACCATAAACACCATTCACAATTACAGCCGCCTGGCTCGCATTTTCGCCTTTATCAAAGAAAAACTGTAAAATGTACCGAATTTTCTCTTTGTTGACTTCCATTTTTAACACCCTGTAACTCACAACTGAATGGACCAAACAAAAAACAACAAAAGAATTTTTTTAGTGCGAAATATCACCTTTCCAACGAGCATAAGTCTGAAATTGTTTGATCGATACTTTACGAGATATCGATCACTACAGCCATCTACCGAAAAAATAATGGATTTCTTTTTCCCCAACCTAATATATGTGTTCTCAGTTATTATAAAAGAAATCATTTTTATTGAAAAACGAAGGATACTTATTATAATATGATCTTTATATAATTTTGATCATTTTTAGAAATATTACGTGAATATACGTGTAATTCATCATCCGAGTAACCTCGGCATTATTTTTCACACGATTGACAGTGCATAATAAAGTATTTCTATATCTAGCATGTAAACAATATAAACAGATATATGTACAATTAAACAAATGCTACTTATTAAAATCGGCTCTTTAAGAAATGCTAAAACTTTTGTATCCTCTCTTATTTTCTTTGACATTTTATTGCGCGTTTACATTCTTTACGGAAAGAGCAAAATTAGTTTCGTTTTCATTGCAAATGAAGCTCATTACATAATTTATGCAGTATTCATTAACTTCTTGAGAACGTCAGAAGCCGTGACTTCACGAGGCAGGTAAGAAAAAATCACCGTTTCTTTGCATGCGATTATACGTTCTTACTAATCGACCCCTCAACATTCCTTCTTAAGAAAAATAGAATCAATAGCGGGGTATTATTATTCTTCACGTTGTGGCTTACATGCGACCTATTACAACGTATTACAACATATTTTGCGTGAACACATATGCTCGCGTGTTTGTTCTCTTTAATCATTCGCGTCGATGACATCTATGTAAACGCGGACGTCACACATTCCCGCCGGCGTGTCAGTCAAAAAGCTAATCCTCATAAACTTTTTAATTAGTTTTCATTGTTAAAAATACAATAACATTTTAATCTTAATTTGCATAATATTATTTTTGTTTCATTAACACATGTGTTCCCGACACTAGATACGGTATTTATTACACAAATATACACGTTTACGCGTATCGTGCAGTTAATCACGTGATTTATATTTACACGCGTTACGTGTTATATATATTGCGAATGTGTATGAGAAACCGTTCGAATATAATGCGATAATAAAGAAAACGCCACGGAACGAAGTGGTCGCGCGTTGAGTCTTTTGTTACTGCAATAAACCATATATCTACCGGAAACACCTGGGATCCTCGGTATAACAGTCGCGAATCCCGTTCTCCGCTTCGATTTACACTCGTCGTAAAAAGGAATCCACTTAATCGCGCATTGAGCTTGACAGGGAAGCAGAAATAGCAGCGCCCGGCAAGGACGGAGGTTAAGGTCGGAGCTAAATAGGATTTAACCCACGCACAAACCCTCGGTAAAAGGTGGGAAAAGCGAGAGGTAGGCTTGCGATATCGCCAATAAAATTTTCCACCGTCATTGAATGCGAAAACGTACAGGACGGATCCCTATTAATGCAATAAAAGGTCAATTAGAACGGCGACGGTAGATGATAGCCGGAATCGCACCGCGGAGGAAATTACGGATAAAGGAATTACGGATATACTCGGAAAGTTCTTTCTCAATTATGTGAGTGTCAGCTAAAACGGTCCGGTCGTTCTCGGCTGGCAATTAGCATAATAAAAACTTAATTTAAAGGAATGCTAATCAGCACGGCCTAATACGTCAGCATCTGTAAGCTTTTCCGAGAGTTATCGCAATAAGACTGACTCTCCCAGTCTTTTCACAATTTTCTTGAATCTTGTTAATCGCGCGTTCTCTCTTAAATTTCACGTCGCTGTGAGTTATACATCTGCACGGTTTGTGACTACGGAGGAGGAAATATTAAATAAAATTAAAGTAACGGATTGAGAACCGACAGTTGTTTCATCGAATAATTACTGCGTGAAAAAAATACATACATAATATTAGATTGTTACAAAAGTTCTGTCAATTTTTTAATCACAAATCTGAGTGATATACACCGCCAAAGATTAGTAGAAAATCTATTGCAAGGAAACACATACAAGAAACTGAGGAAACTTTTGTAACAGCCTAATATATAGTCATCGGAGATTTCTTCACACTGAAGTGAACATAAATTCGATAGAAAGAAGCAATAAATTAGATACCCACGAACATCCGGTAAAAATGTACTTATAACCTGTGCGGCCGCTTTATAATTTCTACTTGTATTTAAATTTCAGACGTTAATACGCTGAGTGCAATATTCGTGTCTGGCCGCGACGTCTCTCGTTCCTGTATTTCACCCGATATTTCAATTCGCGCCTCTGACTCATCTTCCTTTTATTTTCTACCCAGACGGGTAGAAGTTACGCGATAAAAGCTCGGAACTCTTTCACAGCGACTGCTAAATTGAAACACCGTCGAAATAAAACGACCTCTCTTATTTCTACCGCGATCTTTGAGAGTAGGTACCCTCTCTGTATGCTACCACAGGTGCGCTCAGATTTGTAATAAAGATTCGACTCTTTCGCTATTTCGAGGCTGCATCGCGTACGTATACGCCCGTGTATTTCAGGGTAGAATTACCGTTGAAAGGGGTGCTTCTATTACGGGGGAAGAGCGAAAGATTACGAGAATTGCGAGGAAGTACAAGAAAAAAAGAGCGCGGACTCATTACACAAGCGAGATTATTCGCTCGTTTTTGTTTCGTATATATGAGTAGCTGCCGAGAGCAACGCGACGAACG